GTTTTCGTATTCCAGAAGTTCTGATTTCCGAAATTTTAATTTTTTTATATTTATAAAGTATGTTAAAACTATATGATTCATTTATTTAATAATATACTACTTCAATGTTAGTGTTATAAACGTCAAAAAAATAATTAACTTGTTTATACTATATATAATGGACAATACTGATTTACTAAAGTTAATTGTGATATGAGAACCAATTTTTAACTTAAATTTTACTATCATGCATGAAAATGAATTAGTAATAAAAAATTAGGTTAAGACATTATTGTAATTACAATAAATCACTATCCAGCGATTATAGCTAACTGAATTCAAAGTTTCTATAAAATCAATCCATCTATGGTTTAATATATCTGAACATTAATATATTTGTATATTAAAGAATCCAGCTAATTACAGTACTGTATAATATAAAAAAAATTGGGTTTAAATATTATAATTAAAGGGCGTTGATGTCAAGATCAATTTCTTTGGTGACGTATCCTTATGTTGAAAACAAAAATTAGATAAAAATTTATAATGTTGACTTATATTTATAAACGTACCTTTATCACAAGGTTCATTAGAGCTCATATTAATATCTAATACAATTTCTTTTGTAAAGTGATCTACAAATCGTGAGGATCAATTAAAATTATGAAAGAAATATGTTGATCGTTAAAGTGTATTTTATTTACCACTATTTTCATTTTCAAGAAATTTTCTTCTTTTCATACTTTGTTCTAAATAATTATGAATGTGAATTAATTAGTAGAAAGTATAATGAAAAATAATAATTTATTAAATTAATTACCGTACCATTGTCATTAATGTCTTCAACTGAATCATCTTCAAACTTTCTTTTATCTTTAAATAATATTAATAATAAGTAAGAACATAAAAAAACCATTAAAAAAAACTGAATAATTACCAGTATTTTTCTGATAATAATAAAATGGATCTAAATAAATAATTGTTAAATTTTTCTTGCAACAAAAATGCGTTGTAATTAATAAATTTGTTACCGATAGATTGACTCCTTGAACTCCTTAAAGACATTGCAGATTGAATCATGCGACTTAAAGGTCTACTCTTATAAATGGCATCTGGATTATTTATTGTTACAGGTCCAATATCTGATGATTTAATAATTTTAGTTTGATTTATTATATCACTTTCATCATTATACATTTTATAAATTTTCGAAAATATAACTACAACTGTTGGTCTTTTTGCTGGATCAGAATGCCAGCATTTCTTCATCAATTCAATATATCCTTCGGGTGCATTTGTAAAAATTGGTGGTCGTAAACCATCACATATTTTGATTATAAGTTCTATATCATGAATTTCATCCCAAAAAGGTCTTCTACCTGTCATAAATTCCCACATAATCATTCCAAAACTATATATATCTGAAGCTTCAGTATATTTTTGTCCTTGAAGAATCTCTGGTGCCATATAAGGAATAATACCATATTTCTCATTATCATTATGCGATTCGGTTGCAGATCTACTTATTCCCAGATCACCTATGTACACATGAAATTTATCAATAAAGATATTTCCACTATGTAAATCCCTGTGGATGATTTTTGCTTTGTGTATTTCTTTAAGTCCATTTATTGTATAAAATAACAATCTCAGTTTTATCCCCCAATTAATATTATAAAAGTTATTACTTAAATAATGTATCAAATCACCTGAACTATAATATGCCATGATAATTATCTTATCTTTAGTAATAGGATCTTGAGTAATTCCAAAATATTTACTAACGCTGAGATTACGACCTTTTAATAAAATCTGATAATATACCTTAAACTAAATAAATAAAAAAAAATTATTAATTTATCATCATCATCACGTTGAAGATTAGAATATTGCATGTACTGTACCTCGTTCAGTTCCTTGGATGTAATGTTTTTAGAATTATTAAGTTTTTTGAGAACAACTGTATAATTATTCTCACAAATAATATTAGTGTAATAGGAAAAGTGCTCACAAATTGGGCCATCAACCCAAATAGCTTTATAAATTTTACTAAATCCTCCTTCGGCAATAAATTCTATATTTTTGAATTGATCATAGGGAACAAATTCCAATACCCCAGGAATTGAACCTTTAACAAAATTAACTCGTGTATTTCTGATAAAGTCATCAATGACTTTATTCCCACTTAAATTAAGTTTGAATATGTTATAACATAAATGACAAGTCTCGTGATTTTTGTTTATAATGTTTCTTATCTTACATTCTTTACATTCTATCCCTTCTTTACTAACTATAGCAGTTCGTGCTGGCCGACTTAAGGACATATTGCATGACATCGTAAACAATATTTATATTAATTGTTCTGTTATTTCAAAAAATATATAATTTATTTGTAGCGTTCAAGAAAATCTTCTAGTATATATATTTAAAGTAAGGAGTTCAAAATCCTAAAGAATTATAGTAAACAATTAATCTAGAAGTCCATTATGGAAAGATTTTGAATGAGCTCTGACCAGAATTCCATGAAAGAATAAAAGAATTCTATTAAGATGTAGAGATCAACTTAATTATAAATTGTCGCGTGATACAGTAACTCCTTTTTTTTCCATTAAAAGCAAGTATTTGCTATTTTGTGTAACAACTCTCGTAATAATAATCTATATATCTAAAAATTTGTAACGTTTAGATTACCTGTATAAATAAATTCTAAATTGTGCAACCTTACTTCCATTGGCCAGTTTATTACGTGACGACGTGACGTCGTGACGTTAAACAAATTCAAAAAAGCAAAATTTATATGTCGATCATATAATTCCAGCCAGCATTACAATCCTGGTGCGAAGCAACTAGTTTGCATTAAATTCAAAATAATTGTTGAAAAATCGATATTGATTATTTTTATATATAAAATTTTTATTAATTTTTTTAAAAAAATTATCATGAGTATATAAAAGCAGAAATGAACCAAGTTTATAAAGGGATTCAAATAATTTAAAATTTAATTATATTTTTTCACCTAAGCGTAAGTTCTTATACTAAATTTTAGTTAAATAGCGTCCAAGATCTAAAAAGTGTAAGATAAATTTCATAAAAAACGACCACATATATTAATAAACAAACTTTATTAAAAATTTTCTTCCTTTACTGATTTTTTTTTTTTCTTATTTCTACAGCTACAAATATAAAATTTAATTATTAATATAAAGTTTAATAAAAACAATTAAATCAGTAGATCAAATATTTCCATTATTTTCACATATATTTGTAATTTATTGACTATCATCATCCATTTTATTAAAAGTTTTTCGTTAAAATAAAGAAAACCATTTCATAGATCAAAAATTAAAAATATATTTTTGTTTTTAAGTAATATTTTCTAAGGTATACTTCAAGGGATAGATTTCAATTTCAAATTTATTAAAATAGCCAACAAGTCGAGTTGACTCGAGACTTGAGTTACACAAGCGCAAATCCAAGCCTATAATAATAATCAAATTTTTAACCGGCCTGCCTGTTCAAAATTATTTTATCAAGTGATTATCAATATTTAATTTTTTTTTTTTTCAGGAAAAATCTCCATTTATTGTCCGAAGGACTATTTACCGTGCTGAATTAGCAAAATTTGCTTAACCCCGTTTTTGTCCCTGTCACAATCGACAATTTTATTTCCTTTTTTTGAATATGTATCACGATTTATGTAACACTACCTATATGACCTAAATATGACAAGTATGACAAGTAGATCCGTAGCACTTGCGAGTTATGTTGTGATTAAAATCTTTTCAAGCGCAGCACTAAACAGAATTCCACTATACAACATCCCTATTTAATTAATCGGTTACAAGATAAAAAAAATCATGTAAAAAATAAAAAATAATAATAATAAAACGTTTAAATTTTACTAAAAATATCATGATTAAAAATAAAATTTCAACGCGAAGTAAGGTATCAGGACATTTCGCCGAAGCCATTTCGCCGAATGGACATTTGCCGAAACATTATTTATTACATTTGTTTAATTTATTGTTTTTATACTAAATACATGAAGAAATCTTTTCTAGAAAAATTTTTGAATTAGCTAATTTTTATTAAATTTGTCTTGTTGTTTATAATATATTAATCATTTTTTACCTGTTACTGAATAAATGTTTTCAGGAAAATAAAGTTATTTATTTATTGCTTAACAATTAATATCAGTTACTTGAATGTTAAAGTAATAATATCATAGAAGAAAATACTCTTAAAAATAAAAAGAATTTTTTGTTTAAACGTTTATTTAATTTTTATTTTTATTGCAAAAATAGGTGACGTAGCAAAAGAATGTAAAATAGAAACTAAAAAAATGAAAAGATTAAAGTACTCAATCAAGAATCGAAATAAATAAAAGAAAATTTTTTATTTTCATTGCGCGATTAATATTTTTATAAAATTGATAATCGCTATCATTTCTATCATTTTCGGCAAAATGTACCGTAACCTGTAGGAGGATAGATAGGCAGACATACACTTCAGAAAGTTGGCCGCAAGTAATTTCGTGATCGTATTTATCACCACAAACTTTCAGTCATTGGCATTACAGATAAATAGAGGTAATACTTAGGAATGGGAACTGTTAAAGCGTCTGAAGTGTCATAATCACAAAAAATAAAAATATAGTAAAAAAAATGTATCGCTGCATCATTAAATTTATCATAAATATTAAATTGTGTTAATGCCGCGTTGCAAAGTATTTATTACATATTGGCTAATTGAGTCCCTAAAATTTTGGGGTGTATTTAAATAGATCATCATGTGATACGTATTAAAGCTAAATTATTGTAGAAAGAAAAACATGTCGTGACTAACCGAACGATTATTAAATGATTACTGCAAATAGCCTACTATTTCGAAAATGACAAATTTCAGATTTAAGTGGGTTAATTTTATAAGTATTTAATGTTTTTATTTAATAATCTTATTTATTAAAATAAAGAAATAACAAATTTTTCTACGAAAAAAAAATAAACATGTGTACTGACGTGTAAAAAAACATAAGCATTTAAGATTTTATAAATTATTCATTCTTTAGTTTTTGAATAAAAAAAGGAATAATTCTTTTTAAAATAAAACTAATTGATATAAATATAACCCACAGAATTCCACCAATAAGTCCAAGAACGATACCTAACCAAGCTCCATAAACGTCATAATTATTTCCTTTAATGAGTCCCATCCTAGATTCTGCAGGAAACCATTCATTTAAAAATTCTTCATCAACACCTTCATTAAGATTACTACTATGTAAAATATATTCAATTGAATCGGCAGCTCTAAACTTTCTCTTGCTATTAATTTTAGCTAAAAATTCCAATCTCTCTGAATTTTTCTTTATATTCTTATCTTTTAATAAAAAATCTATCTTGTTTATAATATCACTAACATCTAAGTTAAACTTATTCAATGTTAATGCAACACCAGCTGATTCTAATTTATCAGCATTACCCATTTGATCAACACCAAAAGGCAATACTAACATAGGAGTACCAGTATAAAGAGATTCATGAGAACTTCCTGCACCTCCGTGGGCAAAAAACAATTTTGTATTGGTATGATTAAGTATAGCGAATTGTGGTGCGAACTTTGCAATATGAATATGTGGATGCTTGTTATTTAATATTGGTGAAGTTTGAATATGTGAACCATCAGTTAGGGTTATTGTCGAGGAGTAGCTATCCTCTGGTGTCAAAACTAATGCCCAAACTACGCCATCGATTATTTTTTTATTGATTGCTTCGACAAATGATTGTAAAAGCTTGTTGTTGTTCTCGGTGCTTGCGTGAAAACGCGTACCAAAAGCTACATATAAGACACGATCATGTGCATTCATAAAATCAGAGAGTTCAGACGTAAGTGATGGATATTCTTCCGACAATACTGGTCCCATTTCCTATTAAAGTAAAAAACAATATTTACTAATCTATTGCATATTAATATGATATAAAGAAGCATTAATTACCTGAACATTTGGTGGTAAAGATTGTGGTAACTAAACAAAAAATAATTTTAATAAGAATAATTTAAGCAAGTTTAATTAATTATTATAGTTACCTCAAAACCGAAGAAAGTGTCAACCAAATGTAAAGAAACTTTTGGCGATTGTCCCATAACTATAGGTTTGACATTAACTTGTTCTCTGAAATTATTTAACTGATTAATAATAGGATGTATCATATAAAATAATTTAAGAGGGCGTACTATAATACATTTAAATCTCTCCAAAAAAGATTCATTTTCTAATGAAATGTTGCATTGAAACATTGGATCGGATTTATGTAATCCGCGATTAGCAACTAAAAAGTAGATGGAATGTTATTCGAAAATTTTCAAATTAAATATTATATGATAAAGATTTATATTTACATTGAAAAAACGAACTCATTCCAACAACAGGTTTCTTTAGAGTGTTAGCAATATCTAAGCAAGCTTCATTTATATGCATATCACAAATAAATAAGTCAATATTATAATCTTTAGCGACACTTTTATATTTTTCATACGTTTCTTTGTAATCTTTTACGCTTTTTTCAAAAAAATATGCCATCCTATTAAAATCAAATTCTTTATGAAACTCTGCATCCAATATCTCTTTATAATTTATTTCGGGACCCAACGTAATTTGTTTAACAGTTGGATATTCTAATGATGGCGCATAATATCCTGATGTCAACAGTGTTACCTACATACCAAGAACAAAATGATGAGATAAAGATAAATTTGTGAATGATTAAGAAAAATGTATAATACGTAAAATTTTTGTTACTTACATTGTGACCTCTTTCAATTAATATAGCAGCAACGTCTAGTATCGGTTTAAGATGACTTCTTCCCCCAACGTAAGAGCCAACCAAAATATTTTTAGGCGAGCATTCTGTATCAATATTCCTAGGAGCGTAATCAAGCGTAGCATCAACATAGACTTGGTTCAACAAGATGAGTATTAATAATAGAAAAATAAAAGGTTTTTTGACCATTTTGATGTTTAACGATGTTTTGATATTTTTGATGTTGGTTTTAATATTTTGATAGAGAGTTAAGGTGAAATATCTCCTTATTTATATATCTTTAAATATAGGGATCAACATAATTTAACCGAACCGACATTCCATTTTGGTTGTACCTTTGTACCTTGCCTATTGAACCAATAACATGTATTACTTACGACAATATTAGAATTTTATCAGTCATAACAAAGAAATGACTTATTGTGAATGCTGTATGAATTCATCTCCGTAATATGTATAAACAGAAATGCAGATAACCAAAATAAGTGTACCGCAGCAACCAGCCCATATTTCTTAATAGGGAGGTGTTATGTTTAAACTGTCACGATCACGTGATTGGAGAGACCGTGTTAATCTCAGCAACTTTAGTGACTGTTTTTGTGTCCAATACTTATCTGTCACCAGTTATTTGTCACCGCTGCGCCGCCAACCTGGCACACAATAAAGCTGTGCCTTCTGAACTTTTGATTATAATTATGTATTAACATGTGTTGTAACAGCTTTTACGTTTTTATTTAAGAAATAATTAACTTAGTTAGTCTATCTGTTATTAATAATAAAACAACTTTATACTTTACTGTGTTATACAGTAAATACTGTACATGAAATTTCAGATATTCGCAATATAAATAATCTCATGTTTCGTTATTTAAGAGTAGAAAATCGGAAATGCATTAAAAAACTTATTTATGAAAAAAATGGCAAGGATTTATAAAGTATAGCACATGATATAAATATAAATGGGGAACAAAAAAAAATTTCCGTAATACAAAATCTGTGTAAATATCAAATTTTTGAAAAATAATAATTTTATAACGCTTTAACCAAAAAAACTTTCTTTAGCATGATTATATCTTAAAATCTAACGCTTAATGGAGTGAGTTGTAGAACAAACTACTATACGATCACAAATTTTTCATGAGGATCTTTTTTTGTCATACGATATCGATTCATCCCAATCATAATCATAAAATAAAAAGTCAACCCAGGCATAAAATTTACCAAACAACCAACCATGTTAAAGATTGGCTAATTTTGTTTTTTTACTTCAGCAGACAATCCAATTATTAATGACCAATAATTTTTTATTTGATTTAATATAAAATAAAATATTATTATAAATATAAAATAATTCATGATTGAGTCATCTGCAAGGATGTATAAATTTGTGATAAATTTATATACTGTTTTGATTAATAACGTAGAATCTGATATATATATATATATATACATTCAGTAACAAATGAACGAGATGAATTCAATGAGAAAATTTCATCTGAATAAATAGCTAGTTATCATTAAAACAGGTGTATAGTGACCTAAAAAAGCTGTATTTTGATAAGATCTACATTACACAAATTTCTAAAAAAGAAACTTTTTTAATTTTGTACTACCAAACTTCCTTTTTAGAAATTTGTATAACGTAGATCATTTCCTTTTTACAATTTGATACTATAAAAGGAAATTTCAAAATAAAGGTTGAGGATAATTTGATGTATCCTTAAAGGATTAAACCTCAAAATACTATTCAGATGAATTGACAAGAAATTTATTAAGTGAATGATAATACTTACGTAAAATGACTACAGCCATTTTTATTCTCTGTCACGCCGCATATAATGAGCCAATGAAATTTAGGACCAGGTGTAACACTGGTGTAACAGATTTTATAATTGTCTTTTAAAAAATGTACCCCTGTTTCAAAATATAAGCCGATGGGCCTCATATATTTTTCAATCATTACCCCAAAATTGTATGTAGCCAAGCAAAAAGCACCCCATAATAAACTAATTTTATTATATGAGACTGCGTCTAACCTATTGCTAACCCATTGTCCCATTATTCCTACTACGGTAGGTCATGTCAAATCCACTGTCCATCCCTAAGACCAGCCGGGTTTAAATAAAATTTTACGACATTATTATTATTTCTTTGTTGAAATAATCAACAATAGTTGGTGCTGTAATTCCAGAATTAACCCTAAAAAAATCTCATAATAGTTAGGAAAATTTTTTTGCAATGTGCAACAATTACATTTGTTGCAGTTCTTATCAGAAACCATTTTCTATAAGCTAATGCTTATAAGTTTGAAATTTGTCTAATAAAAAATAGTTATTTTATCGTTACACAGTTATAGTATAATGATAAAAAGTTAAGTAAACAAAAAAAAAAATATTTAATTTTAAAATAAATAATCATTAAATTTATTTGCTAAATAAAACTTTAATTATTATTGATGAAAATTATTGGAAGTAATTAATTATAGATTATTAATTAAAATTTTTTAAGTTGGTGGAATCATTTTAATTATTAATTAAATCATTATTATTGGCGGGAAATAATAGAGATTATTAATTAGAATTAATATCATTGGTGGATATTATTAGAGATTAATAATCAAAATGTTATTGGTAGAAATTATTGGAAATTATTAATTAAAATTAATAATCCAAATTGTATTGGTAGAAATTATTGGAAATTATTAATTAGAATAATTATTTATTGGTGGATATTATTAGAAATTAATAATCCAAAATTGTATTGATATAAATGATAGAAATTATTGGAAATTATTAATTAGAATAATTATGTATTGATAGATATTATTAGAAGATTAATAATCAAAATTGTATTGATAGAAATTATTGGAAATTATTAATTAGAATAATTATTTATTGATAGATATTATTAGAGAGACTATTAATCAAAATTATTATTTGTAAAATTAATAATTAAAATTACCAGTGTTGTTGGAAATTATTTTAAGTAAAATTATTTATTACATTTGGTAGAAATTTTTAATTAAAATTATTATAAGTGAAAAGTTTGTCTTTTATTATAATTAAATAATTAGGTCTTATTCAAATTATTAATAAAAGATTAAGAAATCCAATTATTAGATATTTAATCCTTCAATTCAACATAGCAATATTGATAAAATTGAATTTTAATTTCCACAAATTTAAATAATTTTTATTTCTCTAGCAAGCTGGTATGAGAAAGTAATAATTTCATTAGTTTAGTGTTATGCCTTTATTTTTTTGCTAGATAGAAGAATACTTTTTGGCGTATTTTCATGTTTTGCTTCATGTTCTGCTAATAAAGTAAATGTATCCTTTTTTTAAACAAATATCAGATATTCAAAAGTATTGTCATGAGACTTGCATTAGCCAATAGCGCAGCGAAATGTTTCTATAAATGTGCCACAAGCCCACGGCAAATCGGAGTACAGTAGTACTATTTGAGTATTGAAGTTACTAAAAACTGAACAAAAATATTGTGCCATTAGGGATGACTCTGGACGGATTCTAAATTTAGCATATTCTGAGTTTTTCTGAATATTAGATCCATTTTTAATTATTTGTAAAAATGAAGCCGAAGCTGGCACCAAATTTGCTCGGCAGGTTATAGGCCGAATTCGTATTTAATCGATCAAAAAATTTTTTTTTAATTGATCATCACATGATCTACTCGAGCGCCATTTATGAGCTTTATTTTCTTTTTCCTCTATGAAATATCTTCCATCCTTATTTGGTATTTCGCATCTGGATCAGTTTTATATTGAGTGGGTGGGTGATTTTGCGATTGAAAAAATTGCATTATGCACAATTCCTTTATAGTAAAGCGTTTCACGAGTTCCACCAGATTTTTGTTTTTTTTTTAAAAAAAATTCCATTCTGATAATTTAAGTTTCATCCGAAAGATTTTTCATATGCAGCAAGTGTTAAGCTCGTTTAAATTCAATAATCATAATAATAAATAGAAAACACATGGATATACATACATGTGGATGTGGCGAGGTAATAACTAATTAAGTTGTAATAAAATTAAATTTCAATAAGTAAATCTTAATCTTATATCAAAATACAAATTATTATTAGAAATTTTATCGTCTAAATTGCTACAGTCACAAAAATGATTAAAAATGATTTACGTTCTTCTATTGATTAATTTTGCTGGATGTCGAAATTACTGCGGTTACCCTCAAGATTTCTGATTATATAATAAACCCTTTATTAATTAAAGATTTAAATATTTATAAATTATTATATTATTTATCAAGCATTATTCAGATAAATGAAATAAACGTATGATAGTGAAAGTAGCCAAGTAGTGTTCCAATCTTTTCGGATTTTTTGTTGGATATCCGGTATCAGGCGGTTAAACAGATAAACGGATAATATCGGATCGGATTTCTCGGATATTTGGACAATGGGTAATAGCGTGCCAGTCAGATGTTAACCACCAAAATTATTGTATAAATCCGTTTATCCATCATCCGGATATCCGTCGGATATCCGTCAGATTCCATAATCCGACGGATTTTCCGGATGACGGATGATGGATTGGAACACTTTAATCAAGGGATATTATTTAGAAATACAGTATGTAGCTAGTATTGCTAACAATTTTGAAATAAGACAAACCTAAAATTCTTTATGCATATACAGTATAGTAATACCAAGTTTTGGAATCAACCCTATAGTAGAGCTGCGACCCGTCAGAATTTCTGGATCCGGATCATACCCAATCAAAAAAAGTATTACTCGACTCCATAACGGATATTACCCGTTTATAGGCGTTTACCTTTTTTATCAGATATGATTCGAGTAATATCCGGGTATTACCCGGAGCCTGGACGAATATCAATTCTTTTTCATTAAATATACAAATCAAGATATTTATTGAATTAAAAAACTTTGATATTGTTTAAACTAAATATATCAAATAAGTGCTGTTAAAGGTTACTAGTAATAGTGACCGTCAACACACCACTTAATTCTGGCCGAATATTATAATTCCAGATTTACAACTGATTTCAAATAATGTACGGGACACTTACAGTAACAAATTTTAAAAAACTCGGAAATATTGGTAAAGCTTGAAATAAAATAAAATTATATGCTAATTATGGAGGAGCATCCTTAACTTACGCATCATGTGTACAGTGTACGATATTAACGTACGCACCGGCCGGAGTTAAAGTTTAACGCTATCGCGTGCAAGTGCATAACTCCTAAACTCTGGTAGGATGTACGTACTCACGGTTCGTACGTTAAGGAACCTCATTTTAGAGTACTATTCCGAGAATGGTGGCCTTATTTTGAGTTTTACCGAATATTTCCATTTGCTAAGTGTCCCGACCTTTTTGAAATCAGTTGTAATAAAAATTTCATTCGGCCAAGCAAAAATCCATATAACCGGCATTAAAATTCTGGCCAGAGTTAACATCTTAATTCTGGCAAAATTTAATTTCGGTTGGAGTAATTACCCGGGTAATACTCGGGTATATGTGTATATCAACACAAACGGATACAAAACGGGTACTACCATTTTTGCCCATTTGCTATTCCATGACCTGGATATTCGAGTATACCCGGATTGTATCCGGGTAAACGGGTAACGGGTCGACTTTTTCTCTTTTCTATCTAGTTCATAATTAGGAAACTATCTCATATAGGTGTTTCCATCCTTGAAATATGAAGATTTACAATGAACATTAGACGCCATGTATGTTTGTGCATACTGGAACCATTATCGTTTTTTTCTTTTAGCATTCATTACTATAAATTGTTTTAATACTTTACGTGAAAAATATTAACGTTAATCATCTGATGGTATGTTATATCTTAAATTATCATGTTATGTGTGTTGTCTACTTGTCTTTTTGCATAATAATATTTTAAAATTAATAAATAGATTTGTAGATTTTACATAACGAAAAAAAATCATAATATTAGCCCACACTATAACAAAAAACTACTAACATATAGTCACTAACATATTATCATAAACATTGTACCGTACTGTACCTGAAATAGTACATTTTAAATATATATTTTTTATTCAATAAAATTAAAAACAAATATAGATACTAAAAAGGGACTATGTAAATTAATATATCTCTAAATTCCATTTAGCATCATTATTTGTGCTGAATGTTCAAAACAAAATTCAGAAGTAAATTGTTCGTTAAAATATTTGATAAAAAGTGACATTTTTATTTAAAATGTTTTAAAAAAAAATGGCAATAACGTTAAATAAGTAATAGTTATCGAGCGAGGATTATTTGACCGGTATTTTCACTATCGTACAATATTGAAATTAATAGTTTATTTGCGTACAGTATTTTATTTGCGTACAATATCGAATATTGATAGTTTATTTGCGTACAAATCGAATATCGATTTGAGCATGATCTACGGTGGTATTTATATTGGTTATCGTGACGTTAACCAATGTAATGCAACACCGTACAATATCCATAAATTAAACGTCAAAAAAAAAAAATTATCTGACCTTTTTTTAAATTACAGGATTTTAGACGAAATTTTTTCATCAGATTATCTATAAATATGATTATCAGAAATATATGAATATATTTTTATTATATACGATCGTTTTAAGTAAATTATACTAAATTGTATTGGTACAGTACAGCGTATGAGCACTACTATACTGGTACGAAAATTTTGCTCATAAAGTACATCAATTTGACATATAGCATTGCTGGTCTGGGCCCGATTTAAAATTTAGGGTATTTAAATGCCTAATATTTAATCCGGAATTTTTTTAAAGTGGGTACGGTCATAGGAGGATCTTTTAAGCAGTGTTATACGGTATTCTAATAATAATAGCCACGATCTATAAATTAAAATTATTAAGAATCACGAATGTCCTTTTTTTTCAAGGTGCGTGACGTTAAGATTGTTTCTATAATTAATATATTAAATTGCTTTATATTATCTATTTTTTAAAAATATTCGTTACTCTCCATTCTTTTGAAAGGAATGTACTTTTTATTTTCTCGATTAGTTCCGCTTACTAGCCACATTTAATTTTTTGCGTAACATTAAGAATTTTCGTATTTTTTTATAACACTAAAGATTATATAATATTGTTTAGACAATTAATTTTATAAAATATTATTATAAATTGTTTATGTAATAAATTTAATATATAATATAAATAATAAATAATCATTATTAAAAAACGAAAAGTTTATTTGATTTTAGCGTTTGTTTATTTTTATTAATAAGCAATAATTTAATAAAGTACAGTAATATTGCAATATTTGATTATAATCTTCACAAATATGTAAGCTAACTCAATAAAAGTAGATATCCTTACTTTTAAGTAGTTATCAGACTCCTTACAAGGGTCCGGTCAGATGATCTTTCTATGTCGATTTTAGCGTATTCATGTGAAAATATCCTCCTCCAAAGTTTACTTTTGACAATTTGACCAAATTATCAAAACTATGCTCTAATAAAAATTTTTTTTTAAAAAATAATATAGTATAGTCAAAAATATGTCAGTTACCAGTAATTTAATAATAATTTTGATACTCATAATCTTCGAATTTTCTTGATATTAAAGAACGAAATTATTGCTGCTACGTAAAATTACGAGGCTGATGTGCCACGGCAGATCATGTGACGGCTAAATAATTTTCCCATTTGTTTAGTTTCCTAATAAAACAAAAATGCAAATAAATAATTTACTGTTTGTTTTTTTATAAAATTTGCATGAGATAATGTCAAGAAAGACCTTGCGTTTCGTTTTTCGCTCTTTTTTTTTTTTTTTTTTTTTTTTTTAAAAAAAAAAATTTCCGTAATTGTTTATCCTGTGGTGTTCCCTGGTAATCTTTTTTTTCTTCTCCTATTAAAAAAAAAAATAATAATAATAATAATAATTATAGATAAGTAACATATACTGTGACCTATTACGTTTGAATAATGTACATAAATTTTCCTTTAATGGAAACTTATTATTTTAATAAATTTTTTATGAATATCATGCGTTTAAATGCTTAGCTTTATCAGATATCGTTGGTTGAGTACCTCATCAGTGCTAGTACAATTAAATTTCGATTACATTTTTTGTGTATATTACTTTGGGAAACAATAACAATGATAAAGTAATATCGGTTAAATATTCTCTTATTAATTAAATGAAAAGGAAAATTATATATAAATAAAGGAATGTTTCATATTCAAAATTCCTTGATATTAAAATATCAAAGATGTTAATAAATAATAAAATGATTAAAAAAAATTTTATTGTTTTATTATCGATATTAATCCTATTCTTAAATCAAATATATGCGACATATGATTATGTCCCTAGAAGCGCTGATATTGATAGATCACCTAAAAATATTTTGGTTGGCTCTTTTATTGGAGGAAGAAGTCATCTTAAACCAATGTTAGATATTACTACTATATTATCTGAAAGAGGTTATAATGTAAGTATTAGCATTTTCTTCAGATCGCCCTCAAATTTGATTTATTATCTTACTATTTTGCTTTTTTTTTTATATGTAAGGTAATACTACTAACGAAAGGAAATTATACACCATCATCAGAGTATCCAACTGTCAAACAAATTTCATTGGGACCTGCATTAAATTATAAAGAATTAATGAAATCACATATTCATAAAGATGTTGATTTTAATGGAATGATGAAATTTGTGAAATTAAGCTTAGAATCTTACAGAGAAAATTATGAAAAATATATAAATATTGCTAAAGATAATAATATTGATTTGTTCTTTTGTGATACTCTGGTAAATGATGTTTGCTTGGATGCTGCTCACACTTTAAAGAAACCCGTTATTGGATTTAGTTCGTCTATTTACTGTAATTATGAAATTTTTTTATTACAATATTTCGTTTTTCCTTAAAAAATTTATTATGTAACATTCGTATTTTTTATTGTAGTTACTGCGCCCGTATCATATAAATCTGATCCATTGTATGGTTGTAACATCTCATTAGAAAATGAACCATTTTTAAAGAGATTTAAGTGTATTGCAATGCATCCTTTTCAAGTATATTTTGCGGCTCATTCTTTCATAGACCAATTAAACGATATAAGAAAAAAAATTAATGTCGAACCTGGTCTTATAGCTCTGGGAAATTCACCAAGAATTCCTTTTTATTTGGTTGATGGATTCTTTGGTTTCGATGTAATTATAAAAAAAATTTATTAATTAAAAACTTGTTTGAATTATTACTCATAAGAATTTTTTTTTTTATTTTTAAAAGTTACCACAATCTTTACCATCTAATGTCCAGGTAAATTATCTTTTACCTTTAACATGCGGTAGACAAAAATAAATATTAATTTCTTTCTCTCATTCGATTTAATAGGAAATTGGACCGGTACTTTCAGACGATTATCCACCACTTACGCCTGAACTCTCTAATTTTATGAATACACACAAACGTGTTTTATATGTAGCTTTTGGTACACATTTCTTTACAACTACTGAAAATAATAACAAACTTTTACAATCATTTATCGAAGCAATTAATAAAAATATAATCGATGGTGTAGTTTGGGCTTTAGTTGAGACATCGAAGGATAGTTACTCTTCGACATTAAACTTAACTGATGGTACACAAGTTCAAACTTCACCAATCTTAAATAACGAACATCCACATATTCATATTGCAGCGTTTGCGCCACAATTCTCCATACTTAATCATACAAATACAAAATTATTTTTTAGTCATGGTGGCGCAGGAAGTTCTCATGAATCTCTTTATACTGGTACTCCTATGTTAATATTACCTTTTGGTTCCGATCAAATGGGTAATGCTGATAAATTAAAATCAGCTGGTGTAGCATTAACGTTATATAAATTTACTTTGGATGTCAATGACATTATAAACAAAATAGATTTTTTATTAAGAGATGAAAATGTAAAGAAAAATTCAAAAAGAATAGAAATTTTATCTAAAATTAATAGTAAGAGAAAGTATAGAGCTGCTGATTTGATTGAATATATTTTACATAGCAGTAGTATTTATGAAGGTATTGATAAAGAATTTTTAAAAGAATGGATTCCCGCTGAATCTAGAATGGGATTCATTAAAAAATATAATTATGATGTTTATGGTGCTTTATTAAGTATTATTCTTGGGTTTATTGGAGGAATTCTGTGGATTACATTTAAATTAATTGGGTTCATTATAGTTTCTTCTAATCAAAAACAAAAATATGAATAATTAAAATTTGTAAAAAATTATTATCTTGTATTTCTTAATATAATATATACTGTATATTTTTTACTTGTTATAATATATTAAAAACTTAATAATTAATAATTTATAAAGTTAACGGGAATTAAGTTTGATGATTATTGTCGCTTTCAAAAATAGTGTATATCGGACTATATCCAGTAATCGATCATTCGGTAAATCGCTTTAATTACTTTCAAAATTTGTGTAAGATAATCATCCAGCAATTAATCATTCGGTAATCCCCCCGTTAATCGTAATTTATTTTTTCTTTCAAACTGATGACAAAGATTGGTGTTGGACTTTTAAACGGAATATTCTTCGGGTCTTTATCCGAAACAATTTAATATGACACAATATTTTGTGTAAAACTCTTTATGGATTTTGTATTACGGGAATTTAAATTGTTGAAATTGGATCAGCGATTTCATTAATTTTATCACGTGATGTTATTACATTTCATTGATCAGCTAAATCTCTTGGCGTATTTTAAGTTTCCCCCTTAAAAAAAAGTGTCCATTTATGACTAATCTATCTGAAATTAATTACCATTATTATAATAACTTTTTTTTTTTTTTTTAAAAAGAAACATGTTAAAATCGATTCAGCTGACGATTTGGAAGGTATAGAAATTCTTATGGAAGATTTTTAAAAAAAAAAAAAAATAAAATAAAAATAAAAATAAAAAGTAATTATTCATACTACGATTACTTTTATTAGTTGAAAATCTTGTAACTTAATATTTGGCATACAGAATTTCTTTTCGGATCATCTATAAATGGTTATTCCGAATTTCCAATTATGTGAATGAATTCAGGTTCTGCACTAAGTAACTCATCAGTAGTATTACGACAATGTTTTTCATGTTATTCGGTGCATAAGTAATAGTTATTTTAGTTATTTCGACGCAGTCGTGAAGATCATGATATTCACACAGGGATAAATGATATTCTTCACCGTGAGTAAATCATAAATTATTATCTGTTGAATATGAAACGGTCAACAAGACCCTAGACATTGCCATGTAGTGGTACGTTATCTCCAATAATTAGAATGAATGCGACATAATCCCTATCTAATAAATATATTGTTCGTTCTGTCCCACCTGAGTTGCCTGACAGTTTGAAGAAATAAATAAAACTTTTATTAGATTGAACTAGCTTTTACAAGTTTTTTTTTCTTTTATTATTAATTGAGTTATAAAGATTAACATGTATATCATGCACTTTTAAAAAACACAATATCGTTATAATATTGATTTATTCCATTTTATTTCCGAATTTATTACCTCAAACATGGAAATTATCAAAGTTTGCTTAGATTTTAGTTATTTTTTTCCGTAATTATATCATATTCACGAAGTTTTTACAGAAATTATGGATAAAATTTTTTACAGGGTTAATAATTCCTAGTTAAACAACTAGTTTGGTGAACCGTGAACAAGACGGTATTTTATGTTGAAATTATATGTATTCAAATCATAACTTTATTAAAATTTTTATATAAAAAATTTGTAATTATATTATTTTCTTATATTTTCATTTGAAATTGAGCTTTGATACTAGTTATAATTATAAAAATTATTTTATTTTATATATTTTATCCGGTTTACAGTCAATTCGGATATTTTTTAACCAAAAATTCATCCGGGTAAAAACCATTAAATCCGGGTATCCAAAAAAAAAATTATTATCATTATTTCTAGCGATTTTTAGCTTAATAAAATCGACTTTTACTAATCACACCACTTGCGCCCAAACGCCATAGTGTGCGTTTTCTCAAAAACTATGGTCTAAACTAAACAAGTTATACTAATTAAAATTGCTCAGCACCCTCGAAAATGGTCAGAAAAAAGATTTAGTTAGTACTATTTTTTTTTTATATTGCAAATATTGTAAAATAAAAAAAAAATCGAAAAACTTTTAAGAACATATATAAAGTGGTTACGGCACGATTTCCCGACGGATGATTTCCCGACGTGCAAGACATGACATTTGCCCGACAAGTTTTTCCAGAGTTATGCAGAGTTATGCACGAACACGTGATCAAACGGTCAGCGTTAGGCTATTGAGAAAATGTCCTGTCGGGAAACGGTCCGTAAGCGATATAAAGTATATGCTGCAAAATTAAATACTGCAAAGTGGAATATAATTACCGTATTTTTCCAATATTAAGCACCCTCCTTACTTAGCACGATATCAAGCGTAAACTGAAAATAAGCACCTCTCCGACTCGAAAAACAAAATTACTTTATTATTGAAAAAATATATTTACAAATAAAAGTATTTAACTACCGAAACTTTTTTTTGCAAAATTTTTTTAACGAATTTTAAATTGATTTAAAGACGTTTAAAAGACATTTTACTAAAACTGTCAAAATTTAAGCATCCCCCAAACTTTTCGCACAAAATCCCTGCAAAAAGGGTGTTTAATATTGGAAAAATACGGTATTATATTAATAGAATCAGCTTTATCAATCGACTAATAATATAGAATAAAAAGTTAAAGTAACAAATAAAAAAATACATAAATCATATAACTATGGCGTTGAGCGACATGACGTTTTTCGATAAAAATTATAAAAAAAAATAATTGTCACGTGATATTTCTGGTTTCGCGCTGCATCACTTCTGACGTCAATCGTTATGAGATCGAATTATAAATTGCTGAGCAATTTTTGTTAAATCAATCGTCATGTTTGTCACAGATTTTAGGCATTATTATTAAATAATAAAATTTTTTCGTTCTGAACTTTCAATGGTTTCATAAAATTAATTATTACTTTCAAACAAAAGTGAAAAATAATGTGATTATATAATTGAAATTTCAAAATTGAAAAACTTATATCTTAATATCGGGTAGATTAACTCATCCGAACAAGATGTTATAGTGCAATAATCATGATTTGATAATGATAGAGACGACTAAAAAATTGATTTTATTAATGTAATACTTTCCCTACAAAAAATTTTATCCGTTATTTCTGTAAAAACTCCGTGAAATTGAGCCTTTCACGGACCCATTCACGGAAAATGCAAATAATTCGATAAATTCCGTGATATAAAATTATTAATTCCGGAAATATGAGCCTTTTACGGAAAAAAGATGGAATAAAAAAAAACGGATTGACTTTTTTTACAGGGTTTCAATCAAGATAATAATTTCTATAAAAGTCATAAAATCTCGATAAAGGTTCCCAAATTCTTTTTAAAATTTGAGCAGAATTATCAAATAATAATTAAAAATTTATAACAGAAAATTGGATATCATAATTCACGATCGAGAAAGATTTAATAATAAAAAAATTCATAATTTATTATAATTCCTTATTATTTCTAATGAATAGGTGGAAAAAAATCAAAAAAAAAATTTATCGTAAAACCAAGTATTTTGGTTCACTTCTAGATAAGGTATTGTAACATCACTTATAATTATGGATTTAAAAGAAAAAGACAAGAAAATGTGGGTCACGTTATACATCACGTAAATAAATTATTTATTAAGTTCTAATTTATTGAAATTGTTGATAAAGATATTTATAAAATCCTATATTTATTGAAATTGTTGATAGCAATGAAGTGTACCGACAATTCATCAATTTAAAAGTTTCCTTGTTGAATTATTGTTTAGAGGGACGAATAGATGCGAATTAATATCTAGGAGAGTTTATTGCCATGCATTTTGAACAGGTTATTTGAAGAATATACAAAAAAAAATAGGAATAAAGTGAAGATTGAGGGTTAGTTATGTAAGATTAATTCCTCTAATTTATATTTTATGATATCAAAACTAGAGATTTCTTTTACAAAGTTATAATAAGGACATCTTACCACAAAGATTTAATTCATGATCTTCTAGAATACTGCGCAACAGATTCTTTACATTGGAATAAAAAAAAATTCCATATAAATTCCCTATAAAAAAGAATCGTCGTCGAAATGTCCGGAAAATGAAAAAATGTCCGGAAATTGCAATATTCCGAAAACTTTCTGGGCACCAGGCCTGGGCAGGGGGTTCAGGTAATGATGGCGGCACTATGTCCGGAAATGTGAATCAATGCCCTAACGCTCTAACTCATGCGTTAGGGGAAGAAATAACATGCAGACAATAAACTATTCAACCTAAATCAGCTCGCAATTTCTATGAAATGATGCAGCGTTAAGTGCACTCTACTTGAACTAAATCCTTATAAAAGAAGAATGTCCGGAAATTGTCATCGAAAATGCCCGGAAAATGCCCGGGTGTCTGGAAATGTCTGAAAAATCGCAATATTCAGGACATTGTGAATGCCCGGAAAATGTCCGGAAAATGTCTAGGAGGCTTGCCGGCACGAAGCACAGGTTAGCAAAAAAGACCTGGTAAGCCAAGCCGGTAAGGTTCAACAAATTAATTGGAGATTATAGTTCACTTGATTTGAGTAAAAACTGGTTACCGATAGTTACTATTTAATTTTTCAGCAGATGGGAAGAATAACTGAACGCATTAATTGTAGTAATTATTTCGGATGATAATGCCTAACGTTTTGGTTTAGAATCGATACTGCACTATGTCACAACGTACAGTCGTGTCGGAAAGTAACGCCCGCATGGTAAAACATATAAAAATAGAAAATTTCAAGCTATATACATATTTATATTTCTTTTAATAATTATTTCTAAATTTTATATTAATTTAAAGCTAATATCATATTCTTTTAGAAAAGTGATATCTAAACTTTGGTAAAGTTAAAATGCAAGAGCTATTTTAATTATAATGTAAAATAAAAATAGATGATTTCAAAATGCATATATATTTATATTTTGTTTAATAATTATTTCTAAATTTTATATCATTTTAAAGTCAATATCATATTCTTTAAATAAATGATATTTGAACATTGGGAAAGTCAAAATGCAAGAACCGTTTTTTAATTATAAAATACGGAATTCATTTTATATATGTAATTTACTATGTAATTGTGAATCGGGCGTTACTTTCCGACGCGACTGTACGTTGTATTGTAATAATACAACATATTTAATATATGATTCTTGTGTATTAGCTACAACATGCGTTACAACGTTGTATTGTTGTATTTGTAATAATACGATCACAATTTTTTAATCGATTGCATGTGTTAATTTTTGCAATTCAAGTTTTTCAAATTTGGATGCTATACCAAGGATTGAAATGTTAAATTTGGAATTTGTTAATACTTAGAATTGATAATAAATTAATGAGAAAACTCCTTATTCACGCATCTCATTAATTATTTTATTTATTATTACTCACGCACCTCGTTTAATTACTTTATTCACGCATCCTTTTAATTATTTATTCAATTAGAACTGTTCATACTAATTTTGATTTTGATCATGATATTAGATGAAATTATGTTGATAATTTGTAATACAAATTCGAAAATAATCTGATCAAAATAAAAATAAATAATCTGCCGTACGACGGGCGTCGGACGTGACGAGTATTGCAGATCGATGGCTACATTAATGAATCAACCAAACAAGGAAAGACCTAGACTGGCCCGTATTATTTATCACATAACATTAATATTTGGAAAATTTTTTTCGGAAAAATTATCCAATTATATAGCTCATTCAAAATAACCCCATAATAACCAAAAAAAGAAGCTTCAATTAACAACGGTTATTTTATTGTGGTTAGTATATATAGTAATTTAATTAAGTAAGTCAAAATATATTTAAACTAGTTAGTTAATTGGATAATTTTGAATAATAACTTTCTGAAATTTGTTTGGGGTGATCAATCAGTTATATTTGCCGTTTTTATTTTTGTACTCTTTGCAAAAGTATTGTGATACTCACAAGAAAATCATACGATCCCCAGATCATCTGACCATTGTAAATTATATATATATATAGGTGTACTCCCTTTTTTTTATTATATTTGTTATTATAGTAAATAAAAAAAAATGTCCTCAAAATTTTGGGCCGAATTATCTAGCGATTATGAAAAACTTTTTGATTTAGAATTTGGATACGATGTTATTATTTATGCTGGAGAAGAACCAGATGTTAAAGAAATTCATGCTCATTCAAATATTTTGTGTATTAGGTCGCAATATTTTCGTTCCGCATTTTCTAATGAATGGGCAGAGAGGAAAGATGGAAAATTTATTTTAAGAAAACCGAATGTTTCGGGATATTTATTTAATATTATTCTTAGGTAATTTACAATTATTTATATATTAATTTTAAAAAAAATTTCGAAAAAAAAATATACATATAATTATTTGTTTATTTAAATTTAGATTTCTTTATTGTGGAAATATTGAATTAAAAAATTTACAAGGTTCTGATATGTTAAAATTGTTGGTAGCAGTGGATGAACTTAATATTCAACCATTAATTTCTCACATACAAGAATATTTAATTGAACATCAACCCGAATTTTTAAATAAAAATCCGACAAAACTTCTTGAAATTGCTTATCAACATGAAACTTTTACGGATTTATGGGATTTTTGTCTTGACAAAGTTTGCGAGGAACCTAAAATTTTATTTAATTCTGATAAATTCCTTGACTTAAAAGCTCCTTTATTAGAATTATTGTTGAAAAGGGATGATTTAAATGCGGATGAGATTGATATTTGGGATAATTTATTAAAATGGTGTTTTGCGCAACTTAACGTGAAGGATGATTCGAAAAAATGGAATAAAGAAGATATTCCAAAGATTGAGGACTTATTAAGCAGATTTATTCCTTTAATTAGATTTTATGATATTGAGCCTAAAGATTTCTTTTACAAAATTTATTGTTATAAAGACGTCTTACCGAAGGATTTAATTTATGATCTTTTAGAATTTCATGTAGTACCTAATATGAAACCTAAATCTAATGTGACGCCTTCAAGAAAATCAAATTTAAATCTTAAACTTGATTCAACTTTAATTGAATCGGACTTCACTTCTCTCTTCGCATCATGGATTGATAAAAAGGATTCTAAGTATTATAATAAAAAAAATATTCCTTACGAATTTAAGTTATTATATCGTTCAAGTAGAGATGAATTTAATGCAGCATCATTTCATAGAAATTGTAACAAGAAAGGTGCTACTATTTGGATAGCGAAAATTCAAGATTCAACACAATTAATCGGAGGTTATAATCCACTTGATTGGAGTGGAACTGGTTGGAAGAATACTTCAGACAGTTTTTTATTTAACTTTAATGATGTAAATAATATTTCTAGTGTAAAATTGGGCTATGTTTCTGATGGAAGTCGTGCGGTTTATTGTAATAGTAATTATGGTCCTAGTATGGGTGATTTAGTTTGCTCTGATTCCAATAATTGGGAATATGATTATCTTTTTAATGGGGATTATCCTAACATAGGTATTCCAGCAAATTTTACGGTAGAAGGATATGAAGTATTTCAAGTAATAAAGAAAACATGACCCAAATATAGATAATAATAATTATATATATAGTTAATACATAGATTATAGTAATAGTCCTAATTATAATATTAAATATTTATTTTGTTATTTATTTTTTTTTTTAAGTAATTAGAGGATCTAATCTATTATACATGGAAATGGGCGTCAATCATCAGCTCTATGTCAAATAAGGCGGCGGATCTCGTAATTTAGGCGCTGATTCTCATTTTGCCCTCTACAATTTAATTTGTGACTGTCTAACGAAGATGTTCCTGATCAACGGAGGGTGTGATGTTAACACTTATTCTTTTAACTCTGTTAACTTTTAATATCTATTATTAATACATCAATTTATTTCACTTTAGAAAATCATTAAAACACCCTCCGAAAGGATATGCGTTTATGATGCATCGGATCAGTCCTAAGATGGTGGTTTTGTATTTATTATTGTTAAAATTATAATATATATATGTATTTTTAGTATACTACTTATGTAAAAAGAAATATAATATTTTGTTTGATGAATTATGTTTTAAATTTATTTTAGTTATTTTAGTTGTTATTCCAATCTCTCATGTTAAGACTGTACTTTGTGGTATTCAATGTGTAATTATTTCTTCAATTTTAGTATGATATATTATGATATACTAAATTGATCTTTATCATCTTTTTCATGAATCAGTTTAACACATGCATGTATCAATAATATGAGAATTATCATCTTGATCGAGATGACGCGTTCATCGTTATTATTTGTTCTATCGTACCGCACTGCACATAATACCCCGGGTATTATACAAAATACCTGATTTAAAAATTATATAATACCCGTGGGTACTTTGTGAGATACCGGGTATTTATATGAGGGGGATACATAATAATCAGAATTAAGCTAAAGTTACCAGAATTAAGTGGGTAACTAATTGAGAGTAAAAATTTTATATCTAGTAAGATACCTGGGTCTAATAACGTGGGGTACTAACTTTGGGAATACTATAGGCAGTGTAGTAGTTAATTTCACCGACAATTACTTCACCGACAATTACTTCGCCGACAATTACTTCACCGACAATTACTTCGCCGACAATTACTACGCCGACAATTACTTTATCGACAATTACTTCGCCGACAATTACTTCGCCGACAATTACTTCGCCGACAATTACTTCGCCGACAATCACAATCGCTTCACCGACAAACGTTTAACCGACAGTCATTTCATCGACAGTTCATTCAGTTTTGTCTATTTTTAAAGAAATTAAATTATTTTTTTTTCTTGCTTTTTGTTCATCACAACTAAAAATAATAATAATAATAAAAATTTGGGGTTATGTACCCTATAAAAAATTTTATCCGTTATTTCTGTAAAAACTCCGTAAAAATGAGCCTTTCGCGGATCCATTCACGGAAAATGTGAATGATTCGATAAATTCCGTGATATAAGGTAATTAATTCCGGAAATATGAGCCTTTTACGGAAAAAAGATGAAATATAAAAAACGGATCGATTTTTTTTACAGGGTACTGTATATATTAACAATTACTAAATTAAAAAAATATTATAAAAAGAAAAAAATTATATACGAAAGATATAATAATATATATTTAATTTTTTTATTATAAAATTTAAAAATCAATCACCGTATATTGTCGAGACGATCCTGTTGGCGAAGCATTAGTCGATGAATCAGTTATCGGTGAAATGATTGTCGAAGTAATTGTCGACGAAGTATTGTCGGTTAGTTGATCGCGCCCCTTATTATTGACGTAGCTTTATAAATATTTCGTTGAGACAAAAAAATTTCGTTGTATTGAATTAGAGAGATAATGAATAATATAAACCTAATTAATTGGAGTCAATTATTTTTCTTCTAAAATATTCGGGGATTAATTCGGTGAATGCTAGTCACTTGTATAATAATTTTTATGTTAAATCGGCAATTCACATAGTGCCTACTGCCTAATATTTATTAACTTTATATTACTTGTAATTTACGCATATACAGTATCATAATAAAATAAATTTTAAAAGCTATATATTCTTCTAGCGCCATCAAATTTTTAACGTGTAAATATATAGAATAATGTGACCACGTACAGTGTAACTCTACTGCATAAACGATTTCCTCTAGCAGAAATATCATATTTACAATATGTCGTTAAACCATTTTTACCTGTGATTAATAAAAATTTTTTGATCTAAATTTTTAAAGATATGGTTTTTGCACTTAATTTCTTATGGATCGAATTTTAATAGATAAAACTCTTATTAAATTTATAAAACATGTGTTTATTAATTGCATTATCACTAGATACAAGATTTCTAAAAAATATCATATCGGCCAGCGATGAATTATTAACACCGGCCATCAGCAATAAATACCCTTTCTTGTAGTAACGGTTTTGCGTAAATTTTGCGATTCATTGTTTTTAAATGTATTAAATGCATCAAATTGAGAAATAAAAGCTAAATTAGAAATTTTAATAAATGAATAAATTAAATCAAATAATTTTATAAAATTTTCAATCTAGATTCTTGTTTGTATCATAGTCGTTATCTATCAAATTCTGGAAGTTAAAAAGTAAATTCAGTAATTGAACATACATACAGATATGTTAAGGCATCCAAGAAACAAAATGAGTGGATAATTCCTCGAACTCTTAGACCTCTTAGCAATTGCTTATAGCGTTCCGGACAAGCCAGAAGCTTTGGTACTAAACATGCCCGACATCGTGAAGGAGTTCTATGCATTAATTTCTGATTCTTCTAAATAAAAAAATTTATATCACTTCGTATTACTTTATTAACTTTTATTAACAAAATAATAAAAATGTTGTTTGTTATATACCTTATTTTTCTGGGTAATTCGGGTAATTCACAAAATTCTACATTTTGGGTCGAATTGCTAATTTCATTAAATTTCTTGAATAATCTAATTTTTGAACCCTTGTATAGGCGTTTGTGATTGGTAATTGTTGGTATAATGTATTTTATTAAATAATGGCGTTAAATTTTTTCCTAATGTAATAAGTTATCGTGTCATAAATTTTTTTTCTAAAGAGAAATTTCAAAATAGATTAGTACAGTACCACTAAAAAAGAATCACTTTATTAATAATTAATTCTTTATTAATAAATTAATTTTCTCCTATTTGTGATTCCGAATAAGGCCGCACCAATTCAATGTTTCGTTTAACATAACCCCCCCCCTGTTTTTGGATTTTTTATGTAAAAAAAATACATGTAATTTAGGCCAGAATTAGACAAATCTTTAAGTTTTAGCCGGAATTATCATCCAAAATTTTTGCTCACTCTTTTGGTCAAAATTTTGGCTAAAATTAATGTAATTCTGGCCATGTATTTTATTTTATGTATTATTTTTTGTTCCCCCCCCCCCTAGATTGGGACCCCTATGTTATGTTAAACAAAGAATTGGCTTGGAGCGGCCTAAGCTGCAAATTGATGTCGGAGTTGATGATCATGCGGAGTAAGATGTAGTTTATGCACAAGCTTCAATTCAGTACACGTGATAATCGTGTCATCGTATGTTATGGTACAGTACATGTGTGATCTTCTCCTAATTTATATTCAATCAATATTTAACTACTATATCAGGAATGTCAACTTTTCACGAATCTATATAACTTTTTGACTCCCTAAAGTTATATATAACTTCCTTTTTAGGGGAACAAATTTCCGTTTATGTCTTGGTCATTCTTAAAACTTTCTCTACTAGTGCTTCATTAGTTAATTTAACATTACAAACTCTATACCGATTGTACTATAATTACACTGTATTTAATTAAACAATCCTGATAAGGTATTTTCCAATATGACTATACGAGGATTATTACTATTGTGTTTTCCTTTTCAGTCAATTTATTCCATTGGTGTTTTCGATTCAGCTTTCGCATTTGACGCGTCGTTGGCGTACTGCGGAACATCTGATTATACCTCCTCTTCTATGTCGCCTCAACATCTTCCTACTAGAACCACATTCAGTGATGTAATTCTTAGCTTTATTGAAACATCCATCGTCCATAGTCGTTAAGATACTGTTTGTCGATATAACATGGTGGGACGGCTTAATTCATTAATAAGTTTTGCTGGATTTTGGCTGTTTTTATAGTTTGCTTATATTTCTTTTATTTTCGGAGTGATTGGTTTCTATTTGTTCGATAGTTATACTTGCTATTATATTATTTTCATATTTTATGTTTTTCTAGCACCATTACAGCATATTTTTCTTCGACGGTCAGACTAAAGAGAATCATATAACCGCTATCCATGTTTCATATATATTTAATAGTGACGCTAGCGAAGTCTATTTTTTTTGCCCTATAACCTGACTCATGTAATTTAGTATTCCTTTCGTCTTCTTTTTTAACGCCAAAATTTTCTAGGTATAAAGCGTCTTCTATCGATATTTGTACGCCCTGATCCAACCAAATATATTATCATTATTCTCATTATTCCTTTTTCCATTATCTATGGTATAAAATTCATTTTTTTATATTATATATTTTATTATTTTGTATCTTATATATTTTGTATTTGAAAAAAAAAAAAATTTGTTTAAATTACGATAGACTGGGTAGGTATCAGGTGTATCAGGTGTTTTGGTTTCTTTTGTTTATTATGTACTATATTGTTGAAATTTTAAACAATATATAATATAAAATAAAATTCCTATTTATGCTTAAATTGTATTACCTGTTACAAAAAAAATTACACCGTCCAATCAAAAATTTTATCATAATGGGTATAAATTAGACAAAAAAAAAACTCGCATCATTTCCCTTTCTCATTTTCTTCTTTTGAAGCCACGTAATAAAGGTTCTCGCCATCTATATTTTAAGAGAAATTACTTTATTAGTATTAATAAAATATTATTCCGCATAAAGTTTCACGTGAACTTAGTTATGACCTCTGTGTCGTCGTCTCCTGTGAGCTTTTCATTATTTTTTCAAAATTATTGTATATATTCTTATTAACCACTTTTTCTTATTGATACAACCTTTTTACTTTATTTTTTACTTTCCTAATAGAACGGTGCTAACAAACCTAACAAACCCTGGTTTTGTACAAACGAACGCCTACGCTGGGAGTTTTTTAGTAAAGGACAAAAGAGAACAATTCACTCACGCGCTAACGAGATTAACAAACTACAAGAAACACAAAGGCCAGAAGATTTAACAATGCAAGTACACCAACAGCTATTATGAAATAGGCTGAATATATAAAAAAAAGTTCTACTAGCTGATATAAACTTTTTTTACAGTGCGAGAAACAAAAAACCAATTAAAACAATGAAAACGAGACGTAGAATAACTAGAAAACAAAAAAATCGAAATACAAAAACCGAAGAAGAAAGCGAAACTAATACAATAAAAATGCAAATTGACAATGACGGACAATATGTCGAACTAGAAAACATTCAATTAGAGGAAGATCATATAATGGAAGGTGAATCACTTGAACCGGAACCTTCTTTGCATGACTCTCCGGAAGATGTTATGGACTCCCCTGGCTTGGAAGAAACCTCTAGAATATTGAAAGATGATAATAACTCCGAAGAAGAATTACAACACCCAGAAGAGAATAACGAGGTAGTTAAAAGTGAAGACGATAACGATATAGACGAAGGAGGAGGTAATTCAATTTAAATAAGATATTAATTTGTTTAAATATTTTATTAAGATTGTAAATATTGTAAATATTGTAAATTAAGGAACTGTTACCCGTAAATTTACACGGAGCACAAGAAGACCTAGAGTAATCATCACACCTAAAAAACAACAGACGCGAAAGTCTCAACGTAAATCAACAAGAGGGTCAACAAAGAGTTGGGAGTCAGAGTATGAGTTTAAAGGCCGAGATATTGTATTTGGTATGGTTATTTAGAATACTTCACGACGAAGCAAGTTTAGAATTGCTCTCTAACTCAAATTATTGCGATTTAATTTTATGCAGTTGATCCACTAGATGATAAAGCTGAATTTTGGTGGCCGGCAATGGTACAGATTAATGATTTTATATTTGGATTATATAAACCAATATTAAATTTTATATTTGGATTATATAAACCAATGTTATAATTTTTTTAAAAAAAAATAGATTGTCCCCAACGACGAAATTGATGAATCGATGGATGTTGATGGCAAACTTGAAGAAAATTTATTTGCAGGAAAATATCTTGTAAGATATTTTGAAGATATGACATAGTATGTATCAGATCTACACGTTATTTGCATTCTTATAAGAATTATTGCAATGCTGACTAATTATTAATGTGAAGCTCGGTGGTCGAATATAAAGGTCTGAAACATTTTATTCCGGATGCAGAACCCTTTCTTACATTTAAAAATAATTGCGACAAATTTTCGAATCACATTGGAGTTCGTAGGGCCATGACATGTAAAACGAAAGGAGAACCTAACAAAGCTTTTAAGTGGGATTATTGGAAAAGACCGTTGTGGGAGAGTCAAGAATCTGCCCCAGTTACAACCACAACGTCATCCACTAAGAGAACAAGAAGTACATCTAAAGGTGGATCAAAATCGGAAAAAAATAAGCCGTCAGTGCGTCGTAATAGCTCATCAACAAAGAGCAGATCGTCAATAAATAGTGGGAACCATAGTTCTCAAGAAGGCGTACCATCCGAAGAAGAGGACACTGTAAATAATTGTATAGCAAGTCCACCAACATTAGATCGTAGGCGAAAATCTGAGACGGAAAATATTGATTCTCAGGATTCTCATAATTCTCATAATTCTCAAGACTTTCAGGATTCTCAGAATTCTCAAGACTTTCAAGATTCCCAGTCTAATAGTGGCCCAACAAAAGATAATATAGAAATGGAAATTGTGGAAATTGTGGAGATTAATAAAAGTCCAAAAAGAAGACACAGCAGTCTAACAGATAAGTCTGATGAAGGAGAAGAGAGTTCTAATTTGAGAAGTCGGAAAATTAAGCGTGTTTCTGCGGGTGAATCAATGGACGAAGAACCTACGGTTCCTTCACCCTCATCACCTAATACAGAGTCTTCTAAGGTTGAAACATTGACAGAAAATCCTATGGAAATAAGAGAAATTGTAATTGAAACGTCGACAGAAAATAATAACGAACGAACTAAAATTGAAACGTTGATGAAAGAGAATTACGAACAAACTATAATTGAAACGTTAATGGAAAAGAACGACGATCTAACTATAATTGAAACATTGACAGAAAAAAACAACGAACCAATTATAATTGAAACGTCGACGGAAGACAACAACGAACCAATTATAATTGAAACATCGGCAGAAAGTAACAACGAACCGTCGATAGAAATGATGGAGGAAGACAATGTTCCAGCTTCAACGCCGTTGACATCACCTCCTTTGACTGTTGAAGAGTTGAGCGAATCCGCTCAAACAAACATATCCAGTTTTAAATTTGATGATCCTACATTGGATGCAGAAACAAAGGAAAAAATGTATGATGAAGCCGAGGAGAAACTCAGATCTTTAATGAAAGAATGGCGTGCTATTAATAGAAACCTTCGTAAGATAGAAAAAGATTTAATGTCTAAAAAAGCAAGAAAATCAAGAAACAATGAAGAGCTAGGGGATGTCGATATTGAAACTGACGATGAGGGAGACGTAGAACCGGTAGATTCAAGTGATATCGAAAATAATCATGAAGATGGCGAAGAACGTGAGGATGAAGAGGAAATCCAAGTAATTACCCGAAGTAAAAAAATAAATGAGGAATCTAAGGTGGTGTTGAAAAGCAAGCACATATTGAAAAAAATATAGTGGAATATGGACGTTGTTTTCAACGTTTTTTAATTTTTTTTGAGTACTTTTATTATATTAAAACTAGGTGTATTTCTTTAAATATTGTATATCAATTGTGAATGAGAATTTAATTCAAATATAGCTATATTATTATAATTTGTGAAAAGTGTTTTGCATTTCGGCTCGAATTTACAATTATAATAATTATAATATATATTCATAAAACGTAAACAATTCTTTTTATGTTGAGATTACATCTACAAAATTTAAATGTAGCAATCATTATTATTTAATAAACGGGAAAAAATATTGCAAATGAAATATAAGATCAATCGTGAGAACCATATGAAAGATTCTCTTAATTCACGACAATGTGATCATATTATCCGTAGTAATTAGTATAAAATTTCATGAACTGATGAACAGTATATAAATAACATTTGTTCTCGACTTCGCACTTGTACTTCACGTATTTATGTATTAATAATAAAATCCTCGATGATCTTCATGGATAGCGACCAATCTTTTCTGATTTTTTTGAGTTTCCGTTGTTTTCTCTAAAGACTGATTTCAAAATCAATCCTTAAATTATGTAAAAATGAAGTCCTGGTTGGTGAATCCTTTTATTCGTTCAAATAAAACAAAAAAACTAATTAAACTTACCTTCGCATCATCGATCCAACTTCCTAAACGAGAGTAAATTTGAAATATAATTCCCGTCTTTTCTTAATATTTCTGATCATGATATAGCGACACTGACACGTACATAACATAAATAATACATATGTTTAATGACTTTTCTTGTCGCCATTGCATTTTTTTGGCTCTTCTCTAGCAACTTCACTAAAGTTTTTTAAGTCTCCTCTAAGCAATTACGCAATTATCTCAGCCTCCATGGATTATATAGTCATTGCCGCTTGCTTATCCTTCTTTTTTCTTCCCTTATTTTCTATCTCGATCTCTCTCATCCTCTCCTTTCCCTTTCTCTTTCTCCAGATCCTAATCAATGTTGCTGCACCTCAACATTGGTGATCAGGTAGCAACAAGTTTTTTTAAGAGCTAGCTAAGTCAGCAACAATGTAATATATTACATAAGCCGTAAACCAAATCATTCATTTTTATTAATCTATTTCTTCGTCGAATGTTTTTTCAAAAGGCTCGAGTAAGCGATCATACTAAAAATATATCATTTTTAATTTTTTTGTTGATAAAATCCATTTGTTACGACCTAATTGACCTAATTTATCACCTAGACACCTCTTACAAGCGAAATTAAAACCTTTTTGTTAAGTTACTATAAAAGTTTACAAGATTAAATATTGAAAAAATATAAAACAAACAAGCGAAAAATAATGATCTCTTTCTATTATTGACAATATATATATATATATTATGTAATTCATGGGTCCTTTCGATTAAATCTCAACTCGATGAGCTTACAATTCAACCATTAGTAGCTATTACCATATTTTGGACGGTTCTTATGATATGTGAACGAATTTCACTCGTACTGCCAATACCAACGAATATATGCCAAATTGTATTACGTCTGTTTATTTGACAAGTCGACTGTACGCTTGAGTGCATTTTTTTTCGTGAATTTTTTTTTTTTTTTGAGAGAACAGTAGTTTATTTTGTTAAACAATAAACTAACTTTGTATAAATTAACATTACTTTATATAAATTATAATTATAGAAATGTAATTGATCTAATTTTTATTGATTAAGAATTTTAAGAATTTTGAAAATAATTTCTATCAATATGCTTTTGTATGCAGTATATCGAAATCTAACCGTTGATTCTTTAATGAGGCTGGATTTGTATCATTTGATCGAATTACAATTTAAACGTGTAAATAAATTTCAACCAATCAAGTTCAAAATTTGAAGAAATTTGTATTTAAAGTTTGATAGGTTCTAAACTTTTGAGTATAACATGTTTAACAAATTATTTTGTTCTTTCATAACAGACTAAAAAAAAAAGAAACTTATTTCTTGAAAAATTCAAAGAACTTTATGGCATCTTTCATGGAAACATGCTTTCACGTTTATCAATGTGACAAGACTGGAAATAAATAAATGTTTATAATCTAATCTAAAAAAATACCAAGAGCACCGATGTATGAGTAACACGGGTCATCATGGTCCTGAAATGACATGTGTTATCAATAGTAACAGGTCTCTTACCTCGTTTTACTTATCTTTATCAATCATATAAAGACGTTCTCCTTTATGATTTTGCATTTGAGTTAGTATGAATGGTGACACGCTCTTTAATTCGTTGGCCTATGAACGGTTCTTAACCATAAACACAATAGGGATGAAATAAAGCACTTATGATTATGAACATACTGTTAGGTTAAATAAGTCACCAAGATTTACCGATGCGAATTTATAAAAAGATCACCAATACCGTTTATGTCGACACCGAGTGCTGAATGAAAATATGGAATACTTTCTTTAAGTTTTCAAGTAATTATTCAGCACTTTAAAGTTAATTTTCTTTGATAATTATATATATATATATTTTCCTATTTTAACCAATCAATTTCTTGCTGTTTACTTTTTTCTATTTTGTATAGAATTATTGTGTTTGTAATTTAAACTCTAAACCTTCCATCTCCCTCAAACAATCCCTGTATTTAAAGTTTAACTTCGTCCTCAGTTCTTCGATCAGATCCTAGTTTCGACATCGGATTTGCTATCTTCTCACTATCCGAATTAGAGAGCTCTTTCTAAACGGACCAAGAAAATTCCAAATCGGTGTTAGGTGAGTTCATGATCTACTTTCACATCAACATATAACTATTGTTTTTGCGAGTTATATATTTGCAAGTTTTGACGAAAAAACTTTACATGATTTAAAGAGAGAAAAAAAATATAAGGGGAGAAGGGAAGAATACAATAGCAACAAATTAGATTTTGTACTCTTTATGGCATATCATGATCAATTTAGTGATATATATATATATTTTTTATATTATTTCTCATCATGTAAAATTTGATATTTAAGGTCTATTATGCATGGATATTGATATCAGCAAAAATATAATAACTATCAGTAAAAAATTTATGCAAAAAAAAAATAATTTAATTTAATTTTTCTTGCATTGAATCTTATTTATGCATCATTAGGTTGCAAAGAAAATTCCGAGTATTTTTATTTAAAAAGATGAATAGCTAGGCGGACTGGAAATGATCCAATAGTTTTAACAATTGATTATCCAATCAATAATTTTTCATTTTTTTTCTGACGTATCGCCGGATTTCGTCACAATAAGCAACCAGACAAGAGTTAAAAAATCTGTCAAACTTTTTTAACAAATTAAATAAAATATATTGCACAAAACACATATTAACAAAGTTAATAAAATTTCCACGATTTATCACTTTCAAAATAACTGTGTTGGCATGTCGCTAAATTGTTAGTTCTAGGTGAAACAATTCATCTTAAAGGAGATAAAAGATTAGCTTGGGACGGGTGACTGAGTCTGGTTAAAGGCGCCCACTTGAAATGGGCTAATGCTTATCGCATTATCCCCTGTCCTTTGAAAGGTATATATTGACGAAAAAGACAAACTTGACGGCATTTCTATTGAAAAGATATCGAAAAAATATTAGACAGGACGATGGGAACCAATAGAGAAATTTAGAGATGAAGCTAATTTCCATCTGATTATGAACCTCCAGAAGGTCACGTTCATATCATCGTAGTCTCTCCCAGAAATTCGTGAGTTTACTGACTTGTTCCCATGCGGAAATCCCGGATGTAGAAGAATTTGTTTCCCTTGTTAGGAGAAAAGGCATTTTACATCCAAGCTTACAGTAAAAGAGGACCAATCATGGATAAGATCGATCTCTATATGATGAAAAATGATAGTGATTTTAATAATTTTTTGAAAGAATCGATGCAAAAGGATTTATGTTTCTCCGATAGTAACAGTTTAGAACATATTGTCACTTCGTTGGATTCTGATATTAATAAAAAATATCAAACTAGTTACTCATGTCTCGCAGCGATACAGATTTAACTCAGTGTCCCAAAATTTTCAAGTCACGTGACTTGCCGAGTCTCGGCCATGAAAATTTTATATAATACAACAATGACTGTAGGCAAGCTTGATTTGTCAGAAACATTTCAAAAATCTTTTTCATTCATACCAAGTCGTTGTCAAAAATTGTTTAATAACTATGGTATTTCCGTGTAGATTTGTGAAATGACGTACAGTACAAGAATAATTCAATTATATCTATTCCATAAAGTGCTATACTCCTATAGTTTTCCTTACAAAAAAGAATTGAAAAAAAATTTCTTTTAAAAAAGTTTCGAAGCAAACTTACCATTTCGCTTTCCGAAGTCGAATACCGAAAGACCTACACAAAAAAAAAATAAAGGAAAAGTTAGAAACCGTTTCCTCATAAAAAAAAATTAAAAACAACTTTTAAAAAAGTTTCGAAGCGTTAATTAAAAGTATGAGTAAATAATCTCTAGACATATTCAATCCATTTCAACCTTCATATATAATATCACAAATTCTCGTATACTCCCTATCGGTTCACTTCCTGTGGTCTTACTGAATCATGTTGCGATGAACTTCAAATAATTTGATTCGAGAATATGATGATAATAATGTCTTCTTTTAATATTTCTTTGTTGAATTCGCTAATAACGGCATTTTCTGAAGATAATTTCCTGGAAGATTTTTTTAATGTTAAATTTATGAATAAAAAGTACACAAATAAGCAGTAAATGATGCCTAAATGTTATATACATGTACCTCTTCGCTAACTATGGTTCAAAGCCAGGCAATTTATCGTGTCTTTAATTGTTAGAAAGTAATTAAAGCTTTTTTTTGTCAATTCTATTTCCTATGTTGCAGTACTAAGGAATTCATAGATTAAAAATAATTTAAAAAAAAAACTTTTCTCCGCCCAATAATGCTACGGCACATTACAAATTATTTTTTTTTTTAATAGTTATACACGTTATAAACTTACTATATCATGCAAGTTAAAATTAATGTCCTTCGATTGCGATTAAATATGATTTTTCAAATCGATCATAGACTACCAAAACTAATCAATTGACCGATTAAGAGATTTGAGAGCAATCAAACTAAAAAAAATGTGTTAAAAAAAAAATGAACGAACCTATAATATTAAATTAACATGCATACTTCATATATATTCAAAGGTCTGATGGAAATCCCCCTTTTTTTTACTGAAGACGTGAATATATATCGAAGAACAATCACGCCCATAATTCCCGACACATTTTCTGATGCTTTAACGATAAATCTGATGTAAATGATTAAGATTTTTTTGTTCTTGCTTTTTTTTCGGCCATGTTATTAGTAAAAGTCGTGTTCGTTATATTAATAGATAATTTTCTTGAAGCACTTGCAAAAAAGTACATGGACAATAAACCAAGAACTTTTATTTTTGTTCAGGGAATATAAATCTTTCTGAATATATCGTGGTTAATGATTATCAGATAGGCTTTTGGCGTGGAATTTTATGTCGTCGAAAGACTAAACAAGATTAGAAAGTGAAGAAGTGTCAAATTAATTTCAAATATTTCGTATCACTATTGAGTAAAGGCAATTAAGAATAGAGATATTGACTTTGGATCACATTTAGATGCATAATATTATAACGATTTTCAGTCTTGTTAATAAGACCGAAAATACGGCTTCAAATATCGACAGTTAGAAGTTCTAATATGTGTTTTTTGTCATGTTATTTATACTGATTTTTTCTTTTTATCTAGAATTAAACGTAAAAACAGAAATTAAAATGCTCTTACACTACTTCTGAAGTACTTGAATTAGATATAACTCGATAGACATAAGAAGTTCTTTTTTTTTTTTTATAACCTAAGATGATGAATCTTCTAGTAAGGACGTTCATAGACTAGAATTTTAGAGAAAAGTAAACTTAATTTTGATTGGTAATTTTAATTTCGTGAGTATACAACTAATTTATAAAATTTCTAATTATTTAGTATTTATTTAACGCATTGTACAGTAACTGGGAGTTTGAACGAATAGTAGATCTTTATTTATGATACAAAAAAAGATCATGAGGATGGAGTAACGTAGTATCATAAATTACTGTACTTATATGATGTAATATCCCAAATAATTGGTATTAATATTTACTTATTTGTAATCAACGCTAATTTATTGTAACTTTACAGTCGTCTAATTTTGTTCTTATACTTTTATACGATATAAATGGTATTAGTAATAAGCAATAAATACTTTTATGGTAACAAAGTACTTATGATGCAGCCAAATAGGATATTTATTACATAAATATTATTGATTATACTGTATCGGTATGATTAAATCATCTAAATATCTAATTTTATCATAATAAAATTTATTTTAAATTAATTTGATTTTAATAAATAGCTTATTGTATAGTATCTGTTAGGGGGGTGTAAGAATATTATTTGAGCGATGCAGTTCGGATAATACCTTATCCAATAACTAAATATATTTTTATTATTTTTAGCAAAATTTCTTGAAAAGGGAAAGAAAGTTTCACGATGAAACTTCTTTGTTTGAAATAATAGTATGTTTGATCATCCCAGCCCGAAATTGAACATGACTATTTATGGTTAGATTTATTTATTTGTCATACTATATATAGCGCATAGTTGCGTAATTGATTTGCGGAATTGAAAATCCGATAGAAAACTCTTAATAAAAAAGAAAGAAAAAAAAAATAAGAAAAAAAAGAGACTAAAATTTTTTTTATTATGGCTGTCATTTTTAAAGAATTAGTTTATGCTGAAATTCATAAAGCGGAGGAATTAGCAGAACATAAAATTCAAGATGACAAAGAAAAACAATATGAATTTATTAAACAAACAATACTTGCCGATAAAGGTCTCACGAGTGGTGAAAAATCATTTGCAATAAAACTGGTAAATAAAAAAATCGATAAATATAAAGTTCGAGAAAATAAAGGAGAAAGAAGAATTTGTGAAATTTGTCAAGCAAAATGCCTAGCCACATTATATTGTGAATATTGCGTTCGAAATTATTTAAAAGCACAATTCTCAAACTGGACATCTGAAAATGATAATATCGATAATTTAATACGTGAATGTCAAATGGAAACACTTAAACCAGATAATATAGTAGAATGGATCCCATACGATGATTTAGAAAGTATTGATTATTTAACCGAAAATGGTGGTTCTAAAATTTATAAAGCACTTTGGGTTGATGGATATTATGATGAATGGGATTTTAAAGAAAACCAATTAAAAAGAATTGGAGGAAAACCGGACGTGGTACTTAAGAAATTAGAAAATGTTGAAAAAGCCAATAAAAATTGGATTGATGAGGTACTGTACATATTTATATTATTATTATTGTTATTTTTTTTTTAAAAAAAAATATTATATTTTCTTATAAATAAATTTGTGTTTCTTTTAGGCAAAATCTTACTTAAATATAAGTAGTAATTATGGAGAGATATTAACATGTTATGGTTTAACAAAAGATCCATCAGATGGAAATTATATGCTCGTAATGAATAAATCGCACTTGAATTTAAGAGAATATTTAAAACATAAGCATAACGAGATTACGTGGAGAGAAAGGATTCAAATTACTGATAATATTATATATGCTCTTTCTAGAATTCATAAGGAGGGATCAATTCATAAGAATTTACATTCAGGAAATATATTGTTTAATCTAACTAGCCAACTATTTTATATCAGTGATTTTGGATTTCGCGGACCAGCTGATAGACCATCAAATAGTATATATGGAAATCTTCCTTATTTAGCACCCGAAATTATTGCCGGTAAAGAAGTTACTTTTGCATCTGATATTTATAGTATTGGTATTCTTATGTGGGAAATTTCATCTGGAAAACCACCTTTCATTTATCATGAAGACGATCATTTCCTTGCCATAAATATAATTAATGGGATAAGACCAAAAATTGAATCGGGAATCCCTTTAGAATACAAAAAATTAATGATGCAATGTTGGGATGCTGATCCAAGAAGGCGGCCTAATCTTGGAGAACTTATTAATAAAATCTTTGAAATGAGAAAACATTGTCGAAATATATCAAACGATTCAAATAGTAATAAGAAGAATAAAAGCATGATTAAAAAATTTATTAGAAAACTTAAAGTTTTTCAACCAAAAACAAATAATATATTAGAAATAAGCGAGACAAGCAATTTGGATGAAACTAATTATAAATTATTTACAAGTAAAGTTTATGCATTTGAGAATTTTTCTGAACCAAGAAATGGAACGGAAGGTATGTATTGAATGTATTATTGAGTTATATATAAACTTTATTTTTATATTTAAATTAAATATTTAAATTATTATTTCGTTTAAATAAAATAGAGGAACAAGAAGGTATGCTATTTAATTTAATCTTAGTATTTTTTTTTTTACTTGAAGAAAAATGATTAATATTTTTTTAATATATTAATTTAAAGAATTTCATAATCAACCTTATAATTTCAGCATTTCTAATAACGGTAGGTATTAATTAAAATTTTTTATGATTATACAATTGGAATTTTTATAATTAATTAATTATTTTTAGTCGATGATGATATTTTAAATATGATGCAATCAAGTAGTATCTTTAAAGGTAATAGTGTTGTTAATTAAAATGATTTTGTTGTTCGATAATAATTTAAATTAATTGTTTTAATTAATTTAGGTAGTAAAAAAAAATTATCTAAGGTACCACAAATAAATTCAAATAAAGGTAAGTCAACCAGGATTATTCGTTTGCTATTTTCAATATCCTTCTTATTTTGGCGTTTTTTTTTAGATTTTCAAGTGGACTACTATAGAAGAAAAACAATACAACAAACAAAGAACGTAGATATTGAAGGTATGAAAATGATTATATAGTATTTATAATATTTGTGGTTAATATTCTAATCGAGTTTTTATATTCATAGACGAACATGAGATATATAATGATCCAAACCTTCATTCTGAGGATCAAGATGAATTAGAAATTCCTTGGATTGTATGATGTTAATGATTATTGATTTTTGTATTAGTGATCTTATCGTATTTTGGAATTATTTAGAGTAGCGATAAATTTTGCAAGTTACTTAGTAAATAGTAAATAAAGGTAATTTGCCGATATTCAATATAATAAAATCTCGATATAAAAAGTAAAATTTTACTTCCCCACGCACTATATGAAAAAATACATAAATATCGATATAATTTTATTATCGTATGGATCACGAAATATTGTTATATTAAAGTTTGACTTAATAAATTTATATCCATTTATTATTTATCTAATTTCTTTTTGGATAAAACAATAAATATTGGAGTGGTTTAATTTTGGGATTTGGGAACATTTATTTATTTTAACAAAAAAAACCAATCAGCTCTAAAACTCATCCGTGATAGTTAATATTGTGATTTGACACATTAATTTTAATTATTTTAATATCAAACTGACCTATGTTATTACAATATATAATAATAAATGTGATCATAATTTTAGCTGTAACGACAAGAATAGATTAAAAAAAAAAAAAATTTTTTTTATAACTAATTAGATTTATCACGAGCCCCAACTTTTTGGATTCTACGCATACATTGTAAAAGTTATTCATAATTACATGAGTTCATATCTTTCGATCGTGAGGTCGTTTTTATTGCGTAATTAGCGTCGGAGACGTGTTGATCGACGACGGTAACGACAAAATATCCTTTAATATGGTGGCACTTCCTTCTTGACAACATAATCTACACTGCGGTTGATCTCCCATTTGTTAATCTCACATGTTGCATATTTGTGTAATGCACTCGACCATAAAAAAGGAATCTTGTTTCCATTTAGAATGCTTATACTTTTTTTTTTTTTCTTTTTATGAGAAAAAAAATAGTATGCCTTTGTTTTCCTTGCCTACAGAATGTTTTAGTAATGTACTCTCTTTTCTTGATAGCCAATGTTTGTATAATAGTTTATTTGTCAACAAATATTGGTGTAGCCTTTCTATTCCTATACTTTGGAAGGATCCTTTTGAGTCCATATGTATGAGACCTAAATTAATAAATACATTGCTCTCTTGTCTAAATGAAGAAGAAATTTCATCATTAATTCCTTATGCTATAAATGTTCCAAATAATCAATCTCCTTTATTCGAATATGGAAAATATATAAGAAAAATTCGTCAGACTTTTGTTGAACAAGATATTATATATTGGCTTAGTATTAGATATTATCCTCAAGATAATAGAGTTCAAAAGTTAATAGATGTTATATATCATATGATTATGAGACAAGGGTCTAACTTACAAGAATTTAATATAAAATTGTATCAAATTGATTATATTGATTTACCAAAATTTTCAATTTTTACGACTTTTAGACCCGGAATTACGAATTTACGTTCTTTAAAAATGGAAAAAATGGAAAAAATGGACGTTAATTTAAAATATCAAGATGATTTGATTTGTCAAAATGCCATTGAATTTTTAACCATGGTACCTAAATTCTGTAATAAAATTATTGATTGTGAAATATCTGTTGATAATTTGAATGAAATTTTTATCAATCCATTCTTGAATATTATCAGATCACAACCTTTAGAGAGAATTTTAATTTATATTTCTAGATTATCTAATTTAGGGGAAAATACTCAAAAGATCTTGAATTCTTTGGAATTTCGATCGGATACTTTGAGGGAATTATCATTTGAACATTTAAACTTTCAAAGAATTGATTTATCATTTATGACAGATTTAGAATTTATAGAAAAGATTAAATTTATACATTGTAAAGGTTTTATATCGGAACATTGTGAGGCTTTATCAAAGAAGAAATTTCAATTTAAAGAATTAAAATTTTGGCATGATGGCTTTTATAATATTTATGATATGAGATATGATAAGTATAGTATTGAATTAAATATAGTAAAATCAATAATTGGATGTTTTTGTGGTGAATCATTACTCAAGTTATCGTTGAATGTTATTACTATGGATATAATCAACGGGATAAAAGAATATTGTCCAAATATTTTCTTTTTACATATTTTAATCGTCTCACCAGAACCATTTCGTGATCCAATAATCCCACTTATTTGCGATTTATCTTCTTTAAAAATCTTACATATTCAAACTAAATCTTTTATTTTTGATAGTGGTACTTTGGCTAAAGTTTTGGGAGATTTTCTGACGTCTGTTGAGTATTTATTCTTCGATTTTTTTATCGATTTATTATCATTTCAATATTTTACTAAAAATTGTAAGGCTAATTTAAAGAAATGGATTGTTATTCCAAATGATAATTCTTTGAGAAAGGATTATTTATCATGTGTTAATAATTATCAGAAGGTTCACAATTCTTTAAAGGTATTGGGAATTAACAAACTTCTTACGTTTGGTTGGACAAATGAAGAAATTGAAATTGTGGATTTATTAAAAAATCAAGGTGTTGAAGTTGTTGCGTCGGAAGAGTTGAAATTTTTATTTGATTTTTGATTGGGTTAGAAATTATGGGAATTTTTTTGTATGTGTTTAACGGAAGTTATTAATTTGTATTAATTGGCGAATAAAATTTTAAAATTTAACTAACTTCTCGATAATAAATTATAGATAGACAATGTCAAGTTTATTACGTTAATTAATTAGTTTAATTCACTTATTTTTTTTTTTTTTTTATATAAGCTTAACAATATATACTGTAATTGTGTATATTTGAAATATTTTATTATTTTGTTAAATAAACTTTTTAGTCTTTAGTTCGGTTTTGGTAGAAATAGATTAATATACTTTCGAAATGATTTATTTTTATTGAATTTTTTTTTTTATTAATAACGATTTTTTAAAAGATTTATAAATATCTAGAATACAGTAATTAACATGTCTTTACGAGAAGAAAAAAATATATATATTTGATTTTATTATTAATTTTCGATTACAATTATTTAAACCATGAAAAATTTCTTTTATTGCTCTCATTATACCGAATGGATCTTTTAGTTCCTGTTAACACTATAATAACAATTTTTGCTAATTAATCTTTTATTGGCGTATTTAACAATCAGCCATGGACCGTTGACAATTTTTCCTTTTTGGATAATTCCGGGTGGCAGGCGTTACCTTTTTTGGACATTTACCGAAATTATTATAATTCCGGCCCTGAAAAAATGTGTGCTGACAGTAAAATTTTTTTGGCCTCCGCCTTTGATCCTAACCTAAAAAATTCTAACTATCAATTTCTTACTGTATATGATACTGACATACTGTATATTCGCTAGTAAATATTTAAATAATCAATGATTTATGCAAGGCTCATTTAATAAATATTAAATCTATTAATGATTCATTTACCTGTTTATTATGGTGCTTATTACAAATTCTGCATTACTGCGTAAATGTTTACGTTACAAATTTACCTATTCTAATTTGCACGAGAATTTTATTACAATTTAGATTTGATTTTTACCTATATAGAATTAGTATAAATGAATCGTGCGGCTTCAAAATTTAAAAGTATATACGTAATAAATGATGACAGATTTTATGTAAACAAATTGAAACAATCCATCTGTAACTTTGCTTTGTTTTGGTTAATTACATCATCAATTATTATAAACATAAGCCGCGCGTAATGAGGCAAAGCACTACTGAGGCTTTTAGGCTTCTTCCGTAAGATCAACACAATGAGAATGAATATACAGTACATATTGTATGTACGGGATGTTTTTAACCTAAGGTTGAAGTTGGGCTATGCATCTAAGCATTTTTTTTTAGTCTCTTTTAATTTTATATAAATTAGTAACTGATAAGCTTACTTTCCCAAGTTTTTCATTTTTATCTTTACTGAAATTTTTGCATTTTTTCCAAACCTACTTACGTCATATATGTCATATAATTATGGATATATGCATAATAATTACCTGATATAAATATATATATATATTCAACAAATTTATATAGGGACTTAGTATATTTTGTCAATAATAATACAGAAGATGCAGAGAAACAATTAATATTTATTCCATTTCTAATTAACATATAATATAACTATGAAAACACTATTACATTTTTGAATATAGAATTGAAGATATATTATAAATGATTTTTTTTCAATTTTACATTTAAATTTACGAAACATATATTTTAGTAATTAATATAATTGATTAATAATTTAAATACAGTACACAAAACTATTGATTCTTTATAATTAAATACATAATATACTAGTAGCATAGAATTCAAACTTATAAAAACGCCAAAAAGTCTTGAAAAACAAGTAGCTTAAATTATTAGCTAATAATACAGACTTAAACAATGACATCATATTTTATAAAGACACACAAATTAGAAGTTGCAACTATTAACATTGAATATATACCTGAATTTGCCACCTTACCTAGCACATGTTTTAAGTTCCTTTATTCACAGTTTTATGATAAAATAAAATGAGAGAAAAATATAGAAACATTATTCCAACCCTCAAAATTATTCTACTGATAATGTGGCTATGAAGCATGTTGGCGGTAAATCTCTCTAAATTAAAATATATTTGGTAATTCCTCGATACACTAGTAGAATTTGTAAGAGAAGCTTTCAAAGTTTCATGGAATGGTAAGGATCTATCTGCTATCATAAATTTAGACAGTATGACAAAAGATATAATCATTCTTATAGTATGATGAGTTCTCGTTCATATAATTAAAACTCTTTATTCATATATACTAACACACAAGTGGATTCTTCCTTCTTAAACGACCTACCAAGGAAGTGTTATGCTTGTACATCCTGTCAAAAATTTACACCAGCCAGCAATAAATTCAATATTAAGTACATTTATGGAATATGGGTCAATCACGTTTTACACATTTAATAAAATGAACTTGCAAATACAAATAAAAAAATTTTTAATTATGTCAGAACACATATATGAGATCAGTTGAGTTCCTGCAACTTTGGTTGCAAGAAAAGGGAGAGTATCAGGAACTCCAAATCACACTGACGCACATAGTGCTAGAATCTTCTGAAAGTTTAGAATTGATAGAACTGGAAATGATTTTAAATGTTGATAAATGACAAGAGGAATTTGAGAAGTGTTAATGGGATCAGTAATGACACCAATCCATCAAAGATTCAGAAGGCTAGGGATTTTCTGACACTGAAAAATGGTGTACTATCGTCGGGTCATACAAATTCTTCATGGATCATGTCTCCTCTTAATAAATTGTTGAAGAAAGGACAAACTTGACATTTGGTCATTGAGTTATGCTACAACGATTTTATAGTAGTAAATTAGGAGAAATTCATTAATCTGATGTAACATTCCTTTATACCTCAGAAAAGTTATCCAGAGCACCTGTCAAATCTGCATGCACAAATGAACTTCTATTATAAATAATATGAGAGACCTACAAAAATTACAGCCTACACAAGCTGGACTACGTAAATGTGACTTTTTTTACCAAGAAAGAAAATTATGAAGATTATGATATTATTGCTTTGTATAAAAATAAATTATATTGTACTTTGTGACACTATAAAATCACAAGATAGTAACCTATCTTAATGTTTCTAAAAAACATGAATTAGCATTACATGATGTCTTCTATAACTTTCTGCTTTATTATATTTCTCAACTTGTTGGTGAGTAATTTATCATTAAGCGAGTTATTATAATTCTCAGATTTGATTTAATAGTATATTCATGAATTCAAGTGACTATAAATTAATTGGTCATATTTTATTAAGGTAGATTGTAATATATTTCAAAGGATTCCAATAATGGATATTAAATATTAAATTACAAGACAACCAACCATACGTACTGGGAATCTATCTCAGAAAGAAATCGAGGAATATATTGACGAAAATGTAGTGCAGAAAATTTTAAGGCGACAGCTCATTGCTGTAAACATCTCAGAATTAATTAATAATGAAGGCTTGTCATGCACTAAAGATATTAAAATGGTGTATGGAAAGTTTTCAATTAAAATAATAATGAACTAGGGCACTTGTTAGAAATAGAAGAATAAAGTAGTGAATTGTGGTGCACAATTTCCAGATTAATAGAAGAAAAAGAGGTTCTTAAAGAATGCTAAAAGGAGAGACATAATCATGTTAAAAGTGTATTGTTGTCCACAATTTATTGTTGGATGCAAACAAAATTTTACCATGATAAACAAGATCTCATTTATAGAGAAATGAATCTTGCAATAAAAATAAAAATGTAATTTTAGAAGTATAAGTGATTAATTATTAACTCCAACAATCAAATTTCTCAAGTGTTCTGGGAATATTAGATTTGGTGATTTTATGTAGGATTCTGTTGGGTATGGACCATGTTATAATTTAAACAATAATGGGTAATATTCTTGCTCTCAGTCACATGATAACATTCATTACATGATTGAAGTTACACCACCATCAAACAAAAAGAAATGCAAAACAAAGAATAAAGTTTTACAGTCCCTCGGTTCAACAGATTATTTCAAATGGTTGTATAATCAATTTTAATGTAATTAATATGAATTTCAAAATCAATCGGCAAAAAACAGATGACTGTTGGATACTCCATGGCTTGCTTACTTTGGCAACTATTTGTTAATTTTAATAAGATAAAAATTTTTTTAATAATAATCAATTTTGTAATAGGAGGTAATGCGAGAATGTCTTTATGAAACAAATGGAGATTTTAACTCTAATTATAGAAGTCAAAAGCATGTGATAACCTCACAAATCGTTCATTCTTATATAGCAATATTTTCCTTAAAATCAAAAAAGATCTGATATAAAATAATTTGGACATCCATGTGATGTCTTCACTACTGTTTAGCTGTAAATGAGATATGAGATATAAGTGAGAATCAATTAATTTAAAGATACTTATTATTTCAACTTAGTGTGAATTAAAATTCTTGGAGACATCTATTCCATCCAATTAGATTATATAGCAATGAGACAATGCAAACTAATGTTAACATTTTGTGGGCCAAAAACAAAATATTTTGAAAATTCGTTTATTTATATTTTCAATTTTTTTTTATTTTCTTATTTATTCACTTAGAATCTAGATGATTTTAAACCTTTAAAATCATAAGCTGTGTTAGAAGAAAATGAAAGGATTGATATAATAGCAATTGAGTATAATTTCTAAATATTGGAGCTTTAAAACAAGCATATTATTATGGGTTTAAATGCACAAAATTCTAAATATTTTTACTTATTCTGTAACTGAAATCATGTTAGTTGATTATTTTGACTCACACATACTTATTTTCAATACTATTAAAAAGAATATGAACCCTTGGATGGTATAGATGAAAACATATATAATGATAAAATAAAACTTGTGGACAAATACAGCTTATGAAGACATAAAGAAAGCACCCAGCGAATTTAATAATTTACTCAGTAATTTAATAAACAATATTTTTTTCAAAACAAGAATTACCTTTGGACTCACAAGAGAAGATTCCTGTCACCTGTTTACCTTCAATATTCCTTGGAAAGAACACCAAACAGCAACCCATATTCAGAATATAGGAGTTTGATGAGTTTGATGATAGATTCAATGGCCTCAAATCACTTGCGTGTATTGTGGAAAACTCTTAT